TTACTTAGTAGATGAACTCTTCTAGGAACAATTCTTTTGTACTCTATTGCTGCTGACTCTCACCTGATACCACAGGCCAGGACAAGCTTTTCAGTCCACCAGGGACTAATTGAAAGGGTCTGAAGGGGTGAGCCAGCACTATCAGGGTATTTCTCAACATCACTTTTTAGACATCCTCTGATAACATCAAAGCATGACTATTTCTATCTGCTCGATAGCACTGCTGTCTGGACCCGTAAACTGGGTAAGGAGATGAGTGTGTCAGTGTTGCAGGCGCCAACAACAGGCATTGGGTGACATGAGAGCATGGGAGCAGGGTGTCTGGCTTCTCTCAGATGGGACTTAGTTGTCCACACTTCACCAGTCACCCCTGGTGAGTGCTGCTTGTCTGGGTCACCTGCACTGACATGCTGGTGGATATGACTGGATACAGTCACTGTATAGCATGACAATTAGGTATTTTCCCTGTATGATCTTACTGTTGGGGCTTTTGGAAGGCTTATATCACTACCAGTCTGGACTGACACCATTGATAACTGATATTCAATATCCTTTTATGATTTTTATGAAAAACAAATGACCAAGATACAGCGTTTAACCTGTAACTTTATCATTCTTTATTATTAAGTTGGAATAGCCTCAAAACAGCAGCTATGTACTATATGAACAGTACTGAAAGCTACAGTAATAAAACTATTACAGCTAGTAAGTAAAAGTTAGTAAGTAAAGATATATTTCTATAGCACGAAGAAATAAAGACATACAAAAAGTTTCAAAATTCAACAATTAAACACAAAATATCAAACAATACCTCTACAGAGCAAAGAGATATTCTATATTTTAAGAAATAGTTTGACTTTTTGGTAAATATGCTTATTTTCTTTCTTGCCAAGATGAGAAGATTAATACCGTATTTGTTCAATTAATCTGGGGCTACAGCCAGTAGCCAGTTAGTTTAGCTTAGCATAAAGACTGAAAACAGGGGGGAAAGCTAGCCAACAGGTGCTGGGAGACTTGGCTTTGTTACCTGTTGCTACAGACCCAGTTTGAAGCTGAAGCTGTATATTTAATGGACAGATATGAAAATGGTATTGATTGTCTCATCTAACTCTCATCTAAGTAAGCATATTTCCAAAAATGTCAAACTGCTGCTATATTAAATTCAAGAATTCACTGACAAAAGCTCCAAAGGTGAGATAGGAATCTCTAAAATACTATATCAGAGATGGATAATCTTGACAAACTGATATAGGATATATTAAGGGCAATTTCAGTCAATATTAGCCCGTATATTAGCAAGCAGTAGCATATATATATGTCATTATCATTAATACACAATCAAAAAGTCTATAATCCCTAGAAACACACACAACTTCAACAGCCAAATTCCTCCCCCTTTCCAGCTGTCTTTCGAGAACACTTGACTTGGACAACTCATCTGGTCTCACAAACCACACCAGAGAACATTCCCTTCGGAAGCACTCAATTAAAGCAGTAAACACGAGCTTCCTCTGGGGGGATCAGTCATAGGTGCTGAGGGCCCTGACAGTGACGTGAGAACACGCCTACAATGCCATGACTTTTAGCTCTGTCGATGGGTTTTAATCAGCTCGCTCATGCAAGTCTCAACGGCTGAACACAAACAGTGAGAGTGCGCCAGTGTAATTTTGTGGTATTGATACACTTGAGTCACTCCCAGACACTTTTATCCTCTCAAGGAACAGGAACAGAAGCAAACAGTCATCCGAGATCAAAGCGAAAGGGTAATGAAAGACAGGCGTTTGTCTAGAATACTCATGACATGTACACTGCAAGACCGCCCTAATAGTCACAACTGCCTGTCAGAGGTGATGCTGACAAATGATTTTTATCTTGGGTGGTATAATGTATTTCCTGCTGAATCCTTTGGATCAGTTTTAACAAACACAGAAATCCTGACTCTGGTGTCACATCAATTACCACAATTATTTGCACTGATTGCGTTTGTCTGCAGGGAGCCAACATTGTGGCAGAAGTAATTTTACAGACAATTTCACGATAAACATTCAATGTAAGTTATTCTCTAATTGCTAATATCCTTAGTAAAACAAGCCACAATGTACTGCATGTTATCACTGACATCACTGAGGTAAATACAGCTGCACAGGGGGTCCAACAGGATGCATAAACAGGATGCATTACTGTACATCCCAGATGTTTGTTACGGTGTTAAGTGGCATATGGGTATATACGTTGAAGAGTTTCCATGCCTTCAGGGCAACAAGAGGCCCCTTTAACATAACTATATTGTTGACATTGTAGATTTTAAGCGAACTGTAGAGGAGATTTGCAAGTTTAATAATGTACAACAACTGTAGGCAATATTCAAATCTCTTGACTGTTTTTGCATTTTGGCCCTTTTGGCCCTATAGCTACAGGCAATACTTGAAAATCCCAAGCATTTTTGGTAGAAATGAATCATGTTTTAAGTTTGACTTCTAACAAAATATATTGGAAATCAATTTTTACAAGTCAACACCATATTATCAAGGTTGAATTTAGCTTTAAAACCAACTCATTTGATCTGGTGTTTTGTAGTATCCATATTTGACTCTGCTGAAACTAAAAAGTTACATATATGTGCACTGAAATAAAAGAGCATATGTACTTGCTACATGTTTCATATTGCATAATACGCCATAACCTATTCAGAGTGTGGTATTCAAATGTTCTGAAAATGAAATGTTATTTATTTAAAACAAAACCTTTTGGAACAACTGTACTAAAACTGTCAGATAAGCACAGCTTTGGGCTGTTTGTGCTGCAAGTATTAACACAGTCGGCTGGTCTTAAACTTGTGTATAACACAGATACACACAGTCCTACACACAGTACACTCTCATTACGTTCAGAGCTGGATGCGGCCCACATGGCTCGCCTTGTGCTGTCAGTCACCCTGAGGTCAGCCCTCCCCGCCGAACAGCAGCTTACACATCACTTTCCCTCCAACCCTCCTGATATCAGCACACTGAAGCCTCTGGCCAACAACTTCCTGACACTGACGCTGTTGGTGTTCCACCATCCCAGTGACTCAGTAAAACCACAGTGATTTCCCATGACATTTCTGTAACATTGAGGATCAGTATCAGCTGAGCTGCTCGTACTCTCCGTGTCTTAACCCCCGTGTTCTGGCTCTGAGTGCTTTGTGCCGCAGCCCAAGTCTCATTTGCTGCTTTTTCAGACAATAAATTATTTAAATCTGTCTACATTCAGTGTCAGTGACATGAGGAATTGTTCTGAAATGAGAAAATGGGGGTAGCGCGACTTAACACAATGGATCACGGTCACAGTTGTATAAATGTTTTGGATCATGATTCTTCTTGAACAGCTTGTTATTCAGGATGTCAGCTTAAAGTTCAGTTAGTGGGTGGTATCTAATCAAGTACAAATAGCATCATTTTCAGTTTTTAAAATGTCTTTAAACCAAAAAAATAACATTATTATGTGTAATGACACCTCTATGTAAAAAAGAAAAAAAGGGGCTGCATGCTTTATACCCACAACTTGCGTATGAGGAGGCAATACCACACCCCCTGCTGAGTACACATGGGTGTCTGCCAACAATAACACACGGTGGTGCCAAAATAAAAAACACTTTATGCTGGCCACCTTGTATTTACTCCAGGTTGAGGTGGACCACCCCGGTGCTCAAGTCCACCAGACATTCATAGCACATCAAGTGTTACCCATCAAATCATTACAGGTACTTTGTGGTAAGGAGGATTGTATTTTCCCTCACTGAGTAAAGAGTTTTTATTAGATGGAAATTTAAAAGGTTACATATGACATGGTTGTCATCTGATGCATTCATGTGCAGAAGAAAGGGGAAAACCCCAACGGTGAAAGTTTGTTTAATCAACACGTTATTTCCTGCAAAAAAAAAAAAAACTTAAGTCACAGTAACATCATAGACAGGAGGAAATCAAGTTCATTTAAATCCCTAGTGAAAACACATCTAAAAAAAGAGTTAAATATAAGAGAAGTACAACTCAACTCAATAGAGTAGAATAAAACAGTGCGACACAAAAAACAGCAGTAAAACCATCTGCAATATGAATATATAGTGTTTGATCTGCTAATATTCATACTCACAATGTTTGGTTTTCACTATCCACCTGTGGAAAATACATTTAAAGTACAGAAACTTGATCTCTTTCTTCCGTCCAGCTCAGAGGGTTAAAATAAATACAAACTCTGTGACAATAAAACAAAACAACAACAACAAATATATCCATAGTTTTCAGCACTATACAAGTTTACGAGCTCGCTTCATTCATTTATTAACATACGTATGAAATGTGCAAAATTTGAATAAAGGAATTTCACAGGTTACTTGACGGGTTGAGTGTTCGTATATATTGAGCTTTAATTAATATTATTGCCTGTGTGTAACAACTGAACCATCTCAACTGAGCAACTCTTGCCACCAGGAAGAGCCAGGATATATGGTTAAAAGCTCTGGAAACATCAACTCAATTTAAGCTATTAATATATTATCTAATGTCCTATAGGATTCTTACAAATAATACCCTATTGATATCTATTTTTTGCTTTAGTTACATCCACTCATGTAGGGTTGAACTCAGGGTGACCTATGACTTCTACCAGTACCCAGTAATAAGTCTTACAGTAAACAATAGTCAATCCAGTCGCTATAAAATGGAGCAGAGAAGAGAGGGTGCAAATACCTGTTACTGTATGTAACAGTCTCTCTCTCTCTCTCTCTCTCTCTGCTTGTGAGCTAGCTAAATGTTATGTAATATTTTGAAGTACTCTTGTCTTATTTGGTGTACACAGTCTATAAGGGATTACCCTGCTCACTCTCCCCTCATAATCTGCTGATGATGACGTTATACTGCAGCTCCTGAGTCTCCAGATCTCGCGAGATTATGGAAAACAATCCAGACGCCTCTCTCTCTCTCTCTCTCTCTCTCTCTCTCTCTCTCGGTTCCCCCCTCCTCCCCAGCCCTCCCTTCCCACGCCCCAGTGCGCTGTGGGATAGTGGCACTATAAAGTATATCCTCTCTCGGAGAAAGATAAGAAGCCCGAGACAGGAGGGGGATGAAGATGGCGGACGCCAAGCAAAAGAGGAATGAGCAGTTAAAGCGATGGCTGGGCTCGGAAACGGACCTGGAGCCTCCTATTCTGAAAAAGAAGAAGACGAAGGTGAAGTTCGATGATGGCGCCGTGTTTCTGGCCGCCTGCTCAAGCGGCGATACCGAGGAGGTGCTCCGAATGCTTGACCGGGGCGCTGACATCAACTACGCCAATGTAGACGGTCTGACCGCCCTCCACCAGGTTTGTGTGAGCCTGCTATGTGTGTTAACAGCGGCCCCGGGCCATTGCCAGCATCGTTACAGACACAAATGTCGGTTCGCCCTGGAGCACCTGTCAAATGGAAGCCATTCTCATCCCGTTGTTTACCTACCTTAGCACAGCCGTCCCTTTTTCGACGCAGGGTAACGTTAGAGATGAAAACACACAAGGCTTCTCCTCCCTGAGCTTGGCTATGAGGGATACTTTTAAAAAAAAAACAAACAATGCTAACTGTGCATGCAGATTTAAGAGTGTAATCCACGATAAGCGACAAAGTTTTTTTTTTTTTTTAGGACTTTACTTTTCCCCCTCTCGGCAAACTAGCCTGGATCTATATCCCCTCAGCCAGTGGGTGCAGTCTAATTGCTGTACTGCTGCATTTCAGCTCCTAACATTGGGTCGTTTTATGTGATAAATTACACTCAGGACGAAGAAGTGTTTTCTTTTTATTTATGGTTGCGTGGTGTTGTTGGATACAACTTATTTCGGGTTGCTACGACCGGGTACTGCTCGGGTCTTTTAACATGCATGTTGTCATTGATTTGAGACCCTCGTCCAGGTGAAATGAACCCCGCAGCAGTGGCTATGTAACCCGGGTAAAAAGTCGACTACTCTCTGGAGGGGGAAACTGCAGCTAGCTGGCGTTAGTTACGAAGAAACGTCACTCGGTTGCAAGCTAAATGTTGTCCTTGCGAGGCCTTAACCGTGCGCTGCCTTTTACGTGGTCTCCACACTGTTAGCAGCGGTGTTTGGTGTATTGTGCCTCAAATGTCACGGAAGTTGTTGTAAACAGAAGTAAACCCTGTCCCGGAATGTATGCTAACGCTACGTTAGCAGGGTCGGCTAGCTGTCGTTAGCTGTTTTGGAGGTTTGAGCTGAGGTTAATTCATTCGTTAGCTAGCTCGAGAAACCGCTTTTTATGTCTCGGCATTTCACGTTTGTTTGACTTTGGTGTTTTCGGTTGTAGTCGTAAACACGCGTGTGCCAAAATACTTTTTGCTTGTTTTGGCTGGAGTGGCAGCAGTGCTAAGCTAACTATTTGCCCGCTAGCTATCCGAGGTAGCTAACGCTGACTAGCATCTGTAGTTTCAAAGCCAAATAATGAAAATGGCAGCCCGTGTTTTAGGCTGGCGTTAAGTCAGTCGAGCCAGGTTTTGGAAAAAAACTAAGAATGGTAAACATGCCTGATTTTCTAATGTTCGTGAATCATCAGTCCAGTGGTTGAAATATTGTTTGTTTGTGTGTTTAGTAAGAGAAAGAAGAGCCCTGGTATGTTTTAAGTTGGATTCAGTGATCTGTACTGTACATGCAGTAGATTTGCGTTTACATTTAAATTGGCTTTAATTTAGGTTTTGAAACTACTTTTATTGTAACTTGTGAATATGTCAGTGTAGTTTATGGATTCATTTGTTTTGTCTACTACGTGGTTCATCCTCTGTTATGCTTCAAATGTGACCTCATCTCTCTTTACCATTTAAACAAATAATACCTGGAAGATATCAATAGGATCCCTTTTTAAAATAGCTTTCAGTTTTTTTCAGCCTTAAATTATTGCATCCAGTGTCATTTGTTACAAATTTAATAGGATTATAGTATGTTTACACTGTCAGCTGCTATACATCAATAAGACTTCTTTTCTATTTTTTAATGCTTATGCAATTGTTGTAATTGTTAAGTAGTAAACATTAAAGAGTAAGAAATTGGCAAAGGTTCCTGGCTCGATTTGTACCCACGACATTGTGGTGGTGTGTATGTACCTTAGACCACTGGGGCAACAGGACACCCACGGTACTTTATTATGATCAAATCAGTTCCATTATTGGTTGTGGAAACAATCATGTACACAGTTTCATTCATATTAATGGCAAGGATGCTTCCTCCACATATTTGTTTTGGATAGCAAGTGCTTAAATGATGTACGGATTAATGAAGGGACTGTTGCATTAAATGTTTAATGCTAGCATAGATTTGTAGTGATGTCATCTCATTACTCATGCCCACATGTCTAGTCTTAGTAAGCCTGAGTACTGCTAAGTGCACCACCTTGCTACATGGTATGCTTGTTATCCAAGACTTTACACCTATTAAAAGTTTTAAAAGCAAGTTTTCTGACATAGGTCATTAGCTCTTTCTTTAGATGATGAATTGATTTTATTTCTGTCAACATTTTCTCTCTGTGTTTTATTAATGGCGTTGTTAAATCAACCTTTCTTTGTGCTCAGATTCTTCTATAATTAAATCTGGAATTAGCATGGCCCCCCCCTGTGCAAACTCATTGGGTGGAAACGTTGCCTTTCTTTGGGCTGATGTCCAGGGATGAGCTAGAGTGAGGAAAGAATTTGATTTGCAGTGCCGCTCTCCAGACCTAACCATCTCTGGAGACTAGAAGCTGCTGTGAGTGTGTTTGTGTGTTGTAGGCCAGGATGTGATCCTGGGGGTTTTGGGGGGTCTAACAAAGGAGTTGAAGAAGGAGATACAGGGATTTGTGTTGTGCTAATCCCAGAATTTCAGCGAGGTCAAGCTGATTTTAGTTTCCTTAGATAAACTAAAGAGATGGACAATCAGAGTCATTTGATATCTTTCTTGATATTTTTGTCATGCTTTCCTTATTGCTTTTAGGCCATAAACTCCAGGGCATAACATTGTATGACTTTATGCTTTGCATTGGAAAAACCACACATCACTGTTAACGTTGACAGTTTACTTTTTTGCAATAAACTGCTCCTTCCCTATTCTGTTGAATGACTGACCTCTGGCTTTGTTGTGAAGTGTGTCATGTTGTTACATGAGGGCTCACTCCTCACTGGGAGCAGCGATATCACTCCCAACGCTGGTGACCGGGTGCAGGGTTATAAATACCACCGCCACAAGTTCTCCTAACTGGGTTTCAAGAGATGATACTAAGTTTGGGTATGACTCAGAGTCTGTAGCTCTGCTTTGTAGTGCAGCCCTGGCATAATCTCACATTTAGGCTAGAGGATGTGTCTTTATGTGAGTCACGGACCTTCTGTCACTTGAAAAAAAAAAAAAGACTTGTTGCAGAAGGACCCATAAACATGTTCTCTCCTGTTGTCTCTGATGTGATTCATGATGAAGACCATTACAGGCCCCTCTTGCACATATGGACGTTGTTAGGCATGGGGAATTAACCAATAATAATCTGTGACTTCATCTTCAGTTTTCGATGCATGCAACGTCAAAGAATGTGACTTTGTACGGGTTTTGTACTCGTCACATTACCATTTTGTGACGTGATTGGCTGAGACAGATTGGTTCACCCAAACAACAGACTGCGTGGACTCAGGTGTACAGTAAAGAGGATGTACGAGTGAATGAGGGGTCCAGTAGACGAGTGGAGATTCCAGATCTCGTCGGCTAAACTCGTCTCAGAGGGTAGCATTCCAAGTCCTGTCGTCCTAGCCTGCGCATTCCTCACATGACAGTCGCTGGAAACCATGGTAAAGAGAGAGCAGAGCAGACATTCCTCAGCTGTCACCTAAACCCCTCCCCTCTAGTCATTCTCTCTCTCTCTGGCTTGCCTCTCTCCATACAATGCCAAGGCCCAGCTGACTGTTGCCCACTGAGCTCCATCAAGGCAATTAGTGTGGAGGTAACCAGGGCTTGTCGCTCCACACAAGAAAATCTCCACAGTGACCCACACCTGAACTTTTTTTTTTTTTTCTTTAGCGTCCATGGTCTTTTGCTGATCCCCCGGGACCGAGGTGGCAGGACTCAGCTCAGCTTAACATGTCAGAGTTGGGTATTACAATGCCTTTTGCTCTGTTGACATTACACACCCTCATTATGGCCCTGAAGTCTATGAACATTATCTTGCACCGTCTCCATGACAACGACTCGGGGAAGGTTGCTAGTCACTTGTGTTGGTGGATTTGCATGTACGGAGTGGGAGTTGCATAACAGACTGAACACAGAGAGTCTTTGGCAGTGCTCAGCAGTTTGAAATGAAAATCAACTTCATGAATCTTGTAATGGAACAATTACAGAGCATGTGGTGGAAGATGGTGAGGTGGCTGTGTTTCTTTTCATCCAGACCAGCATCAGTCGTCATATTAACACATTACATAATTGCTGTGGATCTCACTACAACCCCGAGCCTGAGATTCTCAGCTGTGCCTGAGGCTCACAGTCGGCCAGTGAGAGGCGCAAAAAAGAAATGCCTTTGACATGTCCCCGTCCTCCTGATAAAGGCACCATGGCATCCTCTTACAGACCCCAAGCCTCCTGTCTTTCTGCCTGAGGGAGAAAATCCTGCCATCTCATGCTGAGAGGCCCCTTGGCCAAGACAGGCAAAGCATCACATTGCATTTCAGATCTTCCCTGTTGCTCTCACCTGTTTACTAGCCTGCACTACAGAGATGCAGGTTAGAGACTTATCAAGAAAGGCTTAATCCAACAAAATAAGTCTTCTCTATCTTAAAACTGTGCCTGTATAATAACTCCCAGATCTGATGTTGACTGTTAGCTAAAGAATACCAAGGATTACATATTTTGAGGGTGAGATGTAATACACAGCGCTGTTTTCAGTTTTTCAGCAGCTTGTGGGGGTGTACAGCATGTGGCCCAGATGACAAAGCAATGGTCTTTTGCATGCAAATTTAGTAATCTTTGGTACCTTTCATGTAAAGTGTTTTAAATCCACAGCCTTTTAGTATGTATAGTAATCAAAAAATCTTTTCAAGCTTTTGAGGGAGATGGATGGTGATGATGGATGAACATTTGTAGTAGAGATTATGATTAGTACTTATTGTTGAACATCAAGGTCCAGGTAGTTTGACATCACTCAGCTTCACTTTGAGGTGCAGCCTTTCATTTGATATTTTGTCCACTCCATTGTTCGAGTGTCATTAATTAGTTTTGTTCTATAAATGACCTATTCTTCAGACACAGCTGTACTGGCAGCAGGATCTAATGAGCGCGACCGTTGCGTGTCACATAGTACATGGCACCACGGTGCTCTGGTA